CTTCTAATTAATTTGTTATCCCTATGTTGCAGAACTAGTAAAAGATAACAAAGACAGTACCCCACGTCACTTTACGGGGAGTTTTATATATATATATATATATAATCATATTAAATAATAATTAATTATTAATCTAATTAATAATTAATTAATATATATATAAAAATTAAATAAATAATTAACACTTAATTATTTATTACAAAAATAAAATCATATTCTATTGAATTTCTCTCGTATAACCTATAGTCGTAATGTACATCTTATGCACATCATTTTTAACATATAGTTTTAATATGAATCTTATTCATATTAATTTTATTTGAATCTCATTCAAATAATTTCTCTCATAATATATAGTTTTAATTTAGAATTGACTATATATTATAATGTATCAATATATATATATATATATATATATATATATATATATATATATATATTCCCTGAACATTTCAAATTCTTCCAAAAACTTGATCCTCGTTTTACCAGTTATGAGCTAGCAAGGGGACCTAATGGACCTACAGATTAGAAGCTCCAACGATACCGAGATTAATCGGTCAAACTCATTGATCGAGTTAATCAACATTCGTTAACTACGGGTCACTCCACTAAAGACTTGCAGTTGCACTCTTCTCACTGCATAATGTTTTCGTGTCCACGGATATATGACCATTAATGACAAATCAATCCTTCACGAGTGCTCGTAACTCAACTTAGGTCAAATTACCGTTTTACCCCTGAGTTACATCTTACTCTTTAAATATCACTGATCCTCTAATGAACAACCCGGTTATGGTCTAACCAATAACCGGAAGTCCCTCTCGGGCCAATGAGAGGGTGGGGCCCCTTGTTCAAGTTCCAGAGTCAGCATTTAATAGAACACTCATCTACTCCCCTAAAATCGGGAAGGAGTGAATTCCATCTTGTGAAGTTATGTTCCCAACTCCCCACTCGGTCTCGTCCCCAAAATGGTAGGAATATTGAGTCGGCAACTCGGGCCACTCTCACCCATATAGATCAAAGGACGAATCCTCAAGGGCAAGAGTCCATAACTCACTCAGAATTGAGAATGAATTATTTGGTCATCCTATGAAATAGCAATCTATTAGTCAACGGCGTTACATCTAAAAATTGTCTATTTCGCAGTCCGGTCTTATACAAACTCATTGTATATGATACCCTCACTCGCATGTCTCCACACAAACGACCTGGATCGAGTCGTCTGTAACATTTACAAAGTGGGCAGTATCCATAGTGTTGCCAAGATAAGGTACCCAGCCTTATCCATATACTATAGACCCTTTAGGTTATTCACGGGACATTATCCACTCGTATATTAGGGGTATATCAAATATATATACCCAGCTGTCCCGGTTACATGATAATAACCTTGGATGTTTAGTTTATTGGATTTTTGGACAATGCAATACTATAAATTCAATAACAAATTTATTGAATAAAACTTTATTGAATATACAGTTGTTTTTACATAAATACAAACTATGAGTTTATGGAAACACACCCAACAGTTCCTTTTATAAGTTTTTTCGGTTTTAAATTCTCAAACGCTTTTCTAATTAATAGTAACGAATCTTTAATATGTGACTGTGTTAGGGTATGTCATTTATGTACCAACCTACAACTAATGGTGGTACCTTATGTCTTAAAAATATATATATATATCATATATTTAAGAGAGAATGTAAGATTTGATTTTTCTTCTCGTGTGAAAATTAGAAGAGACATGGCACGAATCAAAAGGTAAATTAACATTGAAACAATTTTTTTAAAAAATAAATCTATACATAATAGAGCTAGGAGATCCACAAAATTTACACTCATAGTTTTATGTTTATTTGTGTGTAGGATGTTACTCAATTGACAATATGACATATCTACTCCTTTGTTTAGTCTAATGTGAGAATGCATCATGTTAGATGCAGAAATTTGACCTCCTGAGATTCTGCTAAATTCGTACAATCTTCAAGAATAAAAGGGATCGACGAAACCGGCAAAATAGAATAGCATTAAAGACCGGTGTCGCTCTTGCCACACAGGCTCCGATGCTTAAGTCAGAATCAGAGCAGTTGAATATAAAATGTGGGGTGTTATGAGCATACATTTAGGGTTTAGTTTACTCCCCTATTTATAGAGGTCGAATCCTAATCCCTTCAAGATTTATATCCGTTGAATCCTAATCCCTTCAGGGTTTAATCAGTTGAATCTTATTCCCTTTAGGATTTACATAAGTTAAAATCTTAATGCACTCAGGAGATTTAGACCGAGTGGGCCTCATGCTGCATTCAGGGCCAAGACCAAGTCGACTCGGATCGGGCTGCACGAGGGTCGAGGTGAATCGGTGAACTCGACCATTGGGTCGAAACTCCTCTGCACCGAGGAGGTCTCGCTGCCGAGGACTGCTCGGCACCGACCCGGGTTGCTAGGCCCTGACCCACTTACCTCTCTTTGGGTCTGCTTCTTCTTTGACTCCATTTCGTCTTTTCGATTGTTTAGTCTGATCTCTATTTTACTCCTCTAACACATTGTACCCTTTATCTAGAGTGTAGGTGATTGGTCAGTCGATACACAAAGTTTGATTTTGGATCGATCTAAAATTAGTTCATATGTTATATCTATTCTTTCGTAGGGTCTTGTCTGAGAGTGCATTATAACTTTTGCACCTACCTAGGAGCATGTGAAAGATCTCTTATTATGTTTGAGTTTTTTAATAAATAATTGTTTTGTATTTTTTTTTTTATTTAGTTGTTGATGGCACACTTTTGCACCTACCAAGAGCATCATGAAAGATCTCTTCTCAATCATAGAAGAGTGGAATCTCCCTAAATCTTTTTTCTCTTTATTCTATGTTTGCTTCAGAATTTGGGGAATTAGTGGTTAATTCTCTCTCAAATCTTTCAATTTGGACCCCACTCTTTTGGATGGGATTGTTGGATGCATGTGGTTTTTCTAGAGGCTAATTTTTTAGTAATAGATTTAGCTTTTGAATGTAATTTAATGCATTTGATCCAATTAAAAAAACTAAATCCAGTTTTACTTAACACACAATTTATTAGCAGTTTGTTTCATGGGAATTCGAGATTCTTGTTGGACGAACATCTAAATTCCCACGTTTTTTATGTCTTTTTAAAACACATATTTCTAAAATTTCCATGTTGAGAACATTACTTTTTACATTTGTACCCTTCATTTTTTCTTCATATATTTTCATTCATCTATTTTTTTTAATTTTTAATATTTTACCCGTCTTTATTTTAATATTTTAAATTTATAATTAAAATAAATCAATGTACTCGTGACTAATAAACAATTTTATGCTATTAAATACATTTGTACATTAGATTTACCTGTAAAATAAATTGCAATTAAATTATATAATATCTCACTTTATTTTTAATATTCTGAAGGAATTACATTATTAATAATATTTATTATCATAAATATATAATTTTAAAGCAACATTTTTTTTACGATCAGTATACCTGTGATATTTTTTTTCTCTTAAAAAATATAATGTGATGATAGGATAAATAAATTTCAACTAAGATAGCATAAACTATATGACTTTCTTTTTGAAATACTATTAAAGTTGAAAATGAAATATATATTAATTTAATATGAATTAATTTGTTCTACAAAATAACATATAAAAATATATAAAAAAAATAAATTATTTCAAATCTCTATTATATTAAATGAATTTATAAATTATATAAATATTCGTAAGGTATTTTTGGAATATTCTATAAATTTAACACATCCCCGAGAATAAATCCTGCAAAACAAACATGACTATTCAAATATTTCTGGATATCTTAATAAATTTACCTACGAAACAAACGTGATTATCTAAAGATGCCGGACATCTAAAATATTTTTGAGAAAAATTCCATCATTTCCATCTTTGGGATGGATTAGTTTAACTGGAATGTGGTTATCAATGATGGTAAAATGTTATAATTGGCTGAGGGATTCTCATTTTGATACTTTCTCTAAAAAAAACTCACTAGAATCAAATTCAATGCATAATGCATGGATCAACTTTCAAATTTTTCGACCCATCTGAATATAGCTCTGTAAACAAGTTACCAATGACCTTTCCTTACCGATGAAGATTAAATCGCCATATTGAACTCAAAATCTTTCAAGTATTCAACTTGATGTTTTTTTTTTTTGTTATTCATCGTCTAAAGTCCCAAAATTTTAGAACTTATTTAGCATGCTATCTCCACAAGTTAACATAAATATAGCTTTAATATTTCTACTCACATAATTAATTTACTTTGGCAAGTTATCTCATAGCAATATTTTGCAACTTTGTTCATGATCTTGTCAAGTTCCTTCATTCAAACCCATGCACATTTTAAAGAGAGTAACCACATTTGCCATGCTTCTCTCGAAGGAACTCTGTAGGTTCAATGTTTGGGTATTTTTCAATTTAGTTCCTTATGTATTAATATTTTTCAATTATACCCCTTTCATCGATGAATGTTAAATCCAAATCCAATTGATGATAAACTTACATCACATGATACTTAATCAGCATAAAATTTCAAATATGGAGAATTAAATTTCTACTCTTAATTTTCTACTAATTGACCCAATATTGTACTATGTAAGCTTATCATCAACTGATTGTAACATTCATGAAACAAAAGAGGATATTTGAAAATTTTTAATACATAAGGGGCTGAATTTAAAACTTTTTAAATAACGGGGACTCACTTTAAGAAACACCCCACCCCTGTATCTAACCCATTCTACTAGCAGGAAGGAAAGGGCCTTTTTTCTTCGAAATTCTACTGAACGGGTTGATCCTCCCTCCCGTTTCAGTTTTCTTTGATGTACTGCTCATGGATTCTCAAACCAAACAAATCTGGATTGAGTAGATCAGGCTTGACGGCCGGAAAAAGCAAAACAAAATTAGGATTCGGCCAAAAAACAACTTCTTTGGCCGAAATTAGGATAAAAGAGAACTAAGATTACACAAACCTAGTTCCGTTGGCACTACAAATCTCTAAACATAGTTTTTTAGCATATCTTTCATCCAATTAGTAATGGGAAAACAATACTCCCAAGTCCAACCACAACAAATGAATACGTATACAAACAGAAGATCATAGGCACAAAAATACCAAAGTTTTTTTTTTTTTACTTATCTTTTAAGTATTGCTCCATTTGCACTTCCAACTTCCCATGGTTGTTCCTTCAACTCTACTCTCTCTCCAAGCTTTGCCCCATCTTTAACAGCATTTTTCTTTCCTCTATATATCTTCTCCCCAGAACATCTCATCTGCTACCTTTTCTTAGCAGCTACTGATAAATGAAACATGTTCAATTCAAATGTTAAAACCTCTTAAAAGTAATATAAGGAGTTCTTAGAACACAGAGATGAAACCAACAGCAATGCTTTAATGGAACCTCATACCCAATTCATAAAAACAGGCAAAAAGAAAGAAAAAGTTAAACTGTAAAATGATATGAATTATAGACATAAGAACTCCCGAAACATTCCCTCAATTTCTTTGTTCAGTTCTTATGGGTTTGAATGAGGAAAGAGAGCAAAACCAGAAGTTAGAGTTAAGTGTACAATGGCAGATCCGTCCAAGCTCCAGAGACATGGCCATTCTCACAGACATAAGCTCGAACAACTGGCTCTCCATCATCATGGTACCCAAAAACCCGCCTCAAACAGAAGGCAGAATGCAAATCCCAAGTCTCCTGACAGGAACAAAACGCACAATTCAGATCAATTTTGTTCCTGTTACCATCCTTTATCGTTCTCCAAACATGAGACGCCTTGAAGTTCTTGAAAATGCCTCTGAAAAGCATGTAGTTCCGCTTCTCTTCAATATGAACGCATCCAGGCCAATCACAAATGTACAAACAATCGCCTCGGAATCGGCTACGGAGAAGCTTGTTCCCTTGCTCCCTGCTCAAATTCCAAACACCAGATGCCAAATGCGACCTCATGGACCTGTAGATCTTCCTCCTCTTGGAAGCAGAGAATTCCCTGTCCGCCATAAAAACACCCTTCTCCACTTTCGTGGCCCCGATTTGGGGATCGGGGACATCGGGCGCCTCAGAATCGTTATACACAGTATCGAGATACAAATCATCGTAGAGAGACCAGGCGCAATCAGACGACGCAGAAGCAGAGAAATCAGAATTGACCTGGAACTGAGTGTCCGTGTCCGGTTTAGGGTGCTGAGAGGGGGCCAATTCGAGATAATTTTCATCGGGCCCAAGCTCGCGCTCGAGGCCGAAATCGGAATTCTCGAGGAGAACACCGGAATGGAGGAGGCCCGGGCAGCAGACGGCGAGCTTGTGAAGCGAGGCCCACCCGCCGGCGGGAACAGAGTCGCCGACGACAAGATCGGCGAGGAGGGAAGGGATGGCGGTGGAGCACTTGGTCTTCCAGCAGACATTTCGGACGGTGGAGGAGAATTTGGTGGAAACGCAGGCCAATCGCGCCCAGTTGCGGGGATCGTCTTCGAGCTTGAAGAAAATGTTGAGAAGAACGTCCTCGGGAAGGTTGGAGAAGGCAGATTCCGCCATTATTGATGAAATCAGTGGGCAACCGGAAGAAAAATCGAGGGTTTGTAGAGAGAGAGGGGCGAGATTCGAATAGTGCGTTGAAGGCGAAGCGGTTGGTTTGAAATGGAACACTGTCCTCTCATGGCTTCTCGCCATTTGCATCCACACACTGCCTCTGCATTCCGTCCACACAAATTCCCTTTCTTTGCATCACAATTCACCACCCATGTACGGAAATTCAATTAATTCCCTCCCTTTTTTTTTTGGGGCAAATTACAAATTTGATCCTATACTCTATGTTCTTAAATTTCAATGTTCAAATTTTTTTTTTCTTTTTGGTTGGTTCTTATGTTGGGTAAAAATTTAAACTACGGATCCTTTTGAGTTGGTTTAAATTCTAATCGTTTTTAAAGATAAACTTAGCTCCTTAATAGTTATGATCAAATTTTGTCATCACCATCATTTAAAAATTAACAACTCATTCTATTTTTTTAAAAATGTTTGTTTTACCTTTCTATCTCTGAACTGTGAAATATTTAATGGTGGTAAAGACAAGATCCCTCTAACAATCTAACAATCAGATGAGCAAGTATTTTTCTTAAAAATATCCCTAAACCTTGGCTTTTGTTCTCAAAATACTCTTATCTTTCAAAAAGTTTCAATACTACCCTTAACCTTATATAAAAGTTTCAAATATACTCTTTGAGCAAACATCCATAAATATTTTGAACGAAAAGTTAACGTGATAGAATTTGAAATGACATACCAATTAACGCGTAAGCTTGCTTGATTTAAGTCTGAACACATAAAAAATGTGAAAGAAACTATCGTTTTTAGAAGGGAATTAGAGTCTATTAGACACCAAATTGAAAATTCAAAGGGCCTATTAGATATTTTTAAACTTTAAGGACCTATTGGACATAAAATTAAAAAGGTCATGCACAACCTTGTAAATTTAAGGACTAATCTTATAATTTAACCTAATTTCAAATATAGCACAAATGTGGCATTTTTTAATGGTATTAATTAAAGTTTGATTTAGATTATGTTATTTTTATAAAAACTTTAAGTTTTTACTATATTTAAAAGTACATCTTTATTTTATATCATTTATATAAATATCTCTTCGATTTATATGACTAGATGTAGAAGGCTAAATATGGGATTTGTTTAATATGTTTTAAAAGAAAATGTAGGGACATTTATCTAGCCCATACTTTTGACTATTGTGTCAATTTAATCGTAAATTTAAAAAAGCTTTAATTACATATTCGAAAGTAATTGAAGTTAAAAAAGAAACAAACAAATAGACACAATGCTAATGGAAATGTCAAATATTATCCAAAGTTTAAGAAAATTATGTAACTTTTGAACTAACAGGGAGTTTTAGATTTTTTTAAATATATATATAACACTTCTTTCATGAGCACTTTTCGAGAGAGTCATTAATTAAGTAATTTCCCTCAAAGTACTTTGGGTGTTGTTTTAAGTGTTATTATAATTTTAAATATCATTTTTTATTAGGTAAACATGCAATGTTTTAAAAAGTAATTTTAATGGGTTAAAAAGCACTTTTCACCCACCCAAAAATCATCCCAAACACATTTTGAGTAGATACAATGCTCAAAGTACGTGGACCAACTTTATAATTTAATTTAATTATTTCCAGGTTAAATAACATATTTAGCTATGAATTTGTAAGTTTGTGGTTAATAAATATCCTAACTTTAAAATGTGTCTAATATGTCTTTTTACCTTAAATACATTTGTATTTAGTAACACTCCAGTTTTTCAACTTTTTGTCTAATAAATCCACAAGTCTTAAAAAAATGTTTAATAAAATTTAAAGTTCACGAACTTAGTTCGATGACCTATCAAATACAAAATTGAATATTTAGGAAATTATTAGACATTATTTTAAGTTAGAAATCTCCTAGACATTTAGGAAATTATTAGACATTATTTTAAGTTAGAAATCTCCTAGACATAACCATAAAGTACGAAGTACCAAATTAAATTTGTAGTTGAACGATTATTAACAGACAAACAAATAAAATAAATATATACTGAAAAGGAGTTGAGAAAGAAAGCCTACGCGAGAACAACTTGTTTTTTGTTTTTCTTTTTTAATCAAGAAAAACAAAAAAATAATTGATCCATTTGGTAACATTATTATTTCTTTTTTTTTTTAATCAAGAAAACATAATTGCACTTAGCCACTATTTTTCATTCTTTCTTTTTTATTAACAAAAGAAATAGAAATATGTTTGATTATTCTTTCCTGTTTTTTGTTATCTAAAATTTTTAATTAAAAATAAAAATAAAAGTTTTATATTAAAATTAACTTTTTTAAATTTATTATGCATTTTATAAGTCAAAAATGATAAAATAGTGCTTTTTATGTATGCTTTGGAGCCAAAAAAAAAAAATTTGAAAACAGAAACAAGAAACCTTATTTTGTTGTTAATAAATTTCCACACAATTTTAGGAACATTTTTCAAAACAAGAGAGATTACCAAACGCTTATATTTCTAAAAAAAATAAAAAATCATATCGTTACCAAACGAATCCTAAAACATCTATTCTACATCTTCAAATCTGTGACCTTACATGAGTTGAGACGGAAGAAA